AATGAATCTATTCAATTCTTCAACCTATTTCTTCTTAATCTTGTTGTCAGCTTTTAGTTTGAAATTTCTTTTCCACTTTAAATATATTTATATAAATGTATACACGCCATTTTGAAGAACAGCATAGTGTCATATTATTACAGGGAAGAGAAAAGGTGATCAATCATCCGAGTACTAGATAGGCACCATGAACTTATGTGGAAATTCATAGTTCAATATAGATAAAATGGTAAAAGGTTAGTAAAAGTGGAGGAAGGATAAAAATATTTGATGATAAATATGAATGACAACTGGATATTTTGATTATTTTCACTTTTTATTATTGTTGACTCTTAGGAGTAGATGGAGTAAAGGAAAAAAACTGTGATTAAATATTTCAAAGATGCATAAATGAACATCTTTATTGTTGTCATATTTAACGTTATGCAATTGGAATCATATGAGAAAATAACAACTCTATTGAAAAGAAAAATCAACTTCCAACTCGGTGCTCTACCAACTGAGCTACGAGGTCCAACCGATGATCAAATTTTTTGTCACTTCAATCCTCAAGGGTTTTAACCGACTACCATGTGAATTCATTTCACGTTACTATCGCTTGATCATACTCATACTAACTGCTTAGTCAGTACTTCTCATTCCAATAGAAATCTAACCGAATTAGAGAGGTGGAACGTCATATTAATTATTATTTTGACTATTTGAGATGGCCTGGCTGAGCCGGGTGGCAGTCCGAATTTTCATTTCACTTTAAATCATCACCTAGCATCAATACAAGTCTGGGTAACCACAGCTAAGCTAGTCAAAATAATAAATGATTAGCTTAGTAATTGCTAAATTATTTGAGAAAACGCCTAGATACCACTGCTAACCACCATCTACTATTACGATAAAATTGAAACGACAGATAATATCGAAACATTCGTGCCGCTGCCTATATGCCAATAGATACCAATTGATTCGGTTGAGTCAAAGACAGAGTAGTACAAACAGCATTATATAAATTATACGCGTTCCATAGGAAGTGGCTATCGTGATTCTGTGGCCTACTGGATAATGCTTTGATGTTCGAAGGGAATGATCCTGGGTTCAAGTCTGTGTGGGAACAACATCGCTTACTGGGAGGCAAGTACATTCAACTGACGAATTCTAGATAGGACGAAACACTCGTCCTGCATTTCAGTGCTAACCCCTACCCATCATCACCACAAAATTATCTTTAAAGTTGATCAGCAAGTTTGGTATGAGAATAAAGTTATTGGGAAATGTTTCATTCGATGATTTAAGAGCATTCATGAATTTCACGGTGGCATTCACCGTGGAGCGAAATTAGTTCGAGAACCAGGGAAAAGCTGGGGGTATTTGGCAGTTGTTTCCTCCTAGCATGGAGCTCGTCGTCAGTACATACCCACGGCTCTATGAAGCATCAACCCTAAGTCCGTCATATCTGACGGATTTCACTTTACCGCTCAACCACTGGGTTGAAGACCAGTGTTTCATCCTCGCCTATCTCTGAGACTTGATAAGTGTTTGGAAACTATTCTAGTTGAAAAATACAGGAACAGTGTCTGAAGCGCAATAAGGGGGACCCATTTGTCTTCTGATCTAATACTAGCATATTTACTCATACAGTTTTGGAGTCTTTGTTCCCAAGTTCAACAATATTCACTTTGCTATCTTATCTGAGTCCCACAAGATCTCTCTCCATCTAGTTCCAAAAGCATAAATATTTGTTCAATAACAACGTAATATTTTAACCTTACTTCAGTTCACATGACTACCTTACTTTACAGGTCCAATGTCTTGTTCCTCTCAATTCACTGAACTGAAGTATGTCGAATTTTACCTTAATCTGTTATTCTCAATAGTACATACAAGTTACATGCAGTTGAAGAGGATTGATCAAACAATAAAATGTATCGAAACCGTTCTGGTCCAGCTATTGTTCTCGTTCTCTTCAAATGATTAAGGGAAATATGAAGATGAGGTTGACTTTGAAAGGGATATTGAATTGATAGCATTCAGATGACTATATGACTAAACCTTGAATATAGACTGTTTTCAATTTCAAAATGTATGTTAATTATCAATGGAAGAATAGATGGAGATGATGTGGTTGTATTCTTGAGGACCACAATCTAGCATATATCAGTCTCCTAATAAAAAGCTGTTTAGGAAATTTAACTATAGTAATGCAACTGGCTAACAGTTCAAGGTTATTAGGCATACATATGTGACACAATTAACTGAACACCGTCTTGTATGTCTCTTGTATGTCTTGTATGTCTCTCACCGTCTTGTATGTCTCTCGAATATCAAATGCGATACAACTTTCTCCATAGTTTATAAGTATGTCAACGTGATAGAGGTCGATATACCTAAGAGTTAGCATCAGACCAGTTTGATGACCTTCTCAAAATATCTAATATGATGGTGACATTTTTTCAATAAATCCCAATTCCAATACCACTCGTGAATAAAATCCGTAAATCATATAGGGTTATAATGACTTATACCTAGTTAGATTAGGGGAAAGTCCACTCTGAATCATCTAACCATCAATAATGCATTAAAGAAAACGTATGCCTTACAAACATCTTAACCTAATGCGTCAGTATTCATATAATATATCATCAACTGAGCAGAACAATTCCATGAAATCCTAGTAAAACACAGAAGTCGACCAACAGTCTCTATTCAGTTCTAAGAACTAAGTATCAGACAATTAGATTGGTTATATATTGATGACTAGTTCGGGCCTTAAGTCCAGTCCTACATGGGGTCTATCTTGACCTTGACAGTCTACTTACAGTGTTTGCAGATTTTTTACAGTTCTCAGGTTAGCATCAGAGAGGGAGACTAAGTGCCATCATACTTTAGGATATATCTAGTTGATTACTGACAATGAGCATGAAACCTTGAATTAAAGACTTTATGGAGGTTTAACCGATAATCAACTGGAACATGACAGAAACTCGATGCATCACTGCAAGATAGACTTAGGCTGTCAATTTAAACTTTTTTCACTACAGAGGTGAGTAATGTGGATTTTAAATACTCAAGCAACTTTTTTATGCATACTAAATAGTACAATATTTTCATAAGATGTAGCATCCTGACAATTGATTGACATCAACAACTCGACATCTAAGCCTTTTGTATACATCATCTGAAATATCTTTTGCTAAAAACTGCATTTGAAGATAAGTTATATTCTCTTACGCTCAGTTGAAAACATGATTTTCATGTGATTTTTAAGCAATTATCAAAGATTTATTCCTGCTTTTTTCCGCACGCATACACATTTCCTCATTCTAGTTCATTACCAAAGCAAACTTAAAGTGCCTTGTAACATAAGAAGAAAATTATCATTTACATTGATCAGTCGGTGAAGAGCAACCAATCAATGTATTTGATGTAGTCTTACAATTGGTCAGTCGCAGCCTGAAGACCTCAGTGGTAACATCATTGGTTATAATAGTGGGTGATACGGTTCCAATATCAAGAGGTAGCTATCGTGCCCCAGTAGCCTAGTGGACAACGCTTTGCCATTTTAAGCAATTGGCACAAGGTTCAAGTCTCAGTGGGAACAATATCAGATACATCCAGCTGGTGAGCCCCAAACAGGACAGGATGCTCATCCTAGATTCCTCTGCTAGTAACAACCACGTAATTTACAAGAATTAAAGTATATTAACTTTTCAATAGTTCAATATATTTCGATATTCTAGGTTGTAAGCAAATGACAATATACCAGCACTAATGACTACTTTTATAAACATGTAAACTTTACCGAGTGCCTAAATCATCTTACCAACGTTTGCCAAATTCAAAACAGAATAGCTTGCTGGCGTTAGAAATAAGATAAATATTTGAAAAGTGACCTTGAATAAACATTAGTTGATAAATCAACCAACATTAAGTACACAATTGTTTACCTATGAGGACAGAGTATGTCATTTCAGCTTGTTTACTTTCCTTTATAAGGTGATAAATATATCGAACGAAATACTATAGTCGTAGAAATTTGTTTTGTTGTCGGTGACCGAGTAAAAAAATCATTATGTAAACCAAAAATGTGTTGACAGGTGAGTTGTAAGAGGCTTACATACATACATGAATAACGGGGTAACATCGGACAAATGAAACCCCAATACTTAAAATGGTAATAATTGATTAAGACAATTCATTGATTTCAATTTCATGTTGATCAAGGACTGAGATCAGCTGGAGAACCATTGAAAACTTGGAGCACTGAACATCTGTTTCGTCCTCAGCAGTGCACACCCATGATCCCGCCAAAGATCAAACGTAGGATCTTAAGGTTCCGAGCCCACCACGTAGCCACTGAGCAACTTAGTTGGAATCCATTCGTCTAAACTTCCTACTTCTGTCAGTTTGCCTTATAGCGTGACCGCAATGCTTCTCCAGTTGACGTCAGTTCGCGATGAATACGATTTTAAGGTCAATAAAAAAAAATCCTGACAAACCTCCGAATTGAACCATTTTACTTTGAAATGGCTTTATCTCATTGTGATGTAACAAAGCGTCCAAAAATATATCCATTTATGAGGGTTAATCTTGGGCACTTTGATAGAATGTAATCCCATTCTAGTTGATTTACTGAATGTACCCACACAGTGGAACATTATTGTTCACTAGATTACATTTTGGACACAACTCATACTGTCCAAAGTCATTATTTAGACTTCAAATCATCTCGTCCTATGTCAGTTAAGGTTGGCTTGGTAAAATGTCTAGGTAACATGGCCAGAAAACTTACTAGTAAAAAAAAGATCTAAAATAATAGATCATATACACTAAAGATACCTTGCTCATCGACAGTCACCCTCCGAAATTAATTAATATAACCGGTAATGGTCACTTGGGTGTCCTTAGTTTTAAAAATAATGGCACCAATATGAAGACAGGATTCGAAGTCTCCACTGCGTTAACATACAATAAATTGAATTTCAAAAGTAACAATATCAGTGACCTACGTTATACGTTCACCTTCTTTCATTTCAACTAGACGCGCTCTAGCCAAAACTTGTTGTATACGCTCTTTCTCTTCGTCTGTTAATTCCATTTGGACAGTTTTAAGTAAAGCTAATCCAGTTGTTGATGTATTAGCAATTAGCTTCGGGCTGGGTTTATTCTCACGGATTTCATCAGTTGGAAAGTTTTCACATAAAAACGTGTGTGACTGACTTTTACGTGAACTTGATGACAAGGCAATGGCTGTATCAGAGGAGTTTTGTGGATTATAGGAAGTTAAACCACGTTGCAGAGATTGACTACGCTTATGACTCACATCAGCGTCAACAGACCCTTCTTGACCTGAGATTTGACTAGCTTCATTCCCCATTTTGATTTCACTTTTTGCACAGAATTTCAATGAAATAATCCACTTGTTCACTGTTCAATTTTTACATGATTTACACGATTCATAAAATCCCATCAAAATAATTTCCTTTCATCACATAAAAGTATCAGTGATTTAGGGTGAAATAAGCTGTTTCTAAAATTCCCAATTTATTTTATTTTATTCTTCTTCATCGAAATCAAGGAACACTGTTTATTGGGTTTATTTCCAGAATCTGTTCACCTTGCATGCTTCTCCACATCAAAACTGATAGGTTAATGGACAGCATCAATAGTCCGAAACATTAGCCAATCAGGTGGGTGACCTTGGAGTCGACTCATTTTAATGGATAGCCTTGAGTCCTAATAGATTTGCCTTAATATCGATCGATCTGGTCTAATTATATTTTGAAATGTTGATAAACAGACAGTTAAAGCCAGAAAATAAAAAGAAACGGATATTTACAACTGCCCTGTAAAAACAGTTGATAATGGATCCTATGCAGTAGGTTATATTAATGGCTAACACCTTTGAAAGTCTACTTTTGAGGGAATATTAGATTTTCTGAAGAAAATGGAATAAAAATTTCCGAAAATTTAATTAATTGGTGTGGTTAACTGCAACACAGTACTTTAAGTTTTTCCGCTTCAATAGAGTTGGATGATGAGAGAAATACAGAAACACTTTTGACATCACTGAGGTTAGTTGGTTAAACAACTCAACTCAGAGAACACAATACAACCAAGACCATCCACCTGAGCTAAAAATACTCTTCACCACTTTCAACATCAGTTAAGGATGAGGAAATATGTACACTCATACCCTATCCAGATTATATCCAAGTTCTTCTAACGTCTTAGCAAAGACATCAACGATCGACCACTTAGTTGAGATCGATTTGCTAGCATTTCGAAACAACATCATTCAAGGTCAGTTGCGGTCACTTTTTTACACCACTTATTCATATGTCTTATAGCTTACTGACTACAACAAGAATGTTGGCTTTTCTCCTGAAACAGATATCAGTCCAACACATACTGTTATCCATTCGTAAACAATCAAAATCTATACAACTGAACGAAATATACTAGTGACTGACATAAGCAGTTCTACATCACTAACGTCGATCATCAGTGCTTGTTATCCAGGTCAGTATGAAGTAAACACCGAATAGCTGTTTCCCTTTGCAGCCCAATTCATCAATGATGTATCCAGACCCATTCAATTTGAGAGTCAAAGGGTCTAAACCACCTGAATTCCAGTTAGCTACTTGAGTAGACTGCTCATATATAGAATCATATCAAGTTTTGGTGAAGTACACAGTCCCTGGTTTTCGCTGAGTAACCAAATATTCAAATTACACAATGTGACCGCTGTGAATACTCACCACTGGGACTAGGCTATTCAGCACTTACAGTCCCACTTTTTATTTGCATCCTTCCTCTCAAGATCGCTAATATTAATGAGACTATTACCATGAGGTGTGACTTAAATAAGTAACAATAAGCTGCCTTATTCAATCCTAGACGGTTTACACCAATACGACACAGTTTGCTAAAATAACTGGTATGAAAACGACTACATAATAACTATTCTTGGTGTAAGTTAGTAAAGGTCAGTCTACAGGAAGACCTGGACTTAGGTTTCGTCCTTATCAGAGGGGCCTATTGATAACAATGAGGAAACTGCGTCAAGTAGTGCTGAAGTCAGAGTCCAGACTATTAAACTGTTCAAGCTACGACTGACTCCCTTTAAGATCGTATTCTGCACACGAATTTGTGATCAGAAGGTAACCAGTGTAGCTGTCTACTCTTTAGTACTCATTCAGCACTAACAAAAATCTGTAGATCAACTTTCGCAATACGATGGCTAAGTGACCTAGTGTGACAATACAGGAAACTGTATTTCGGTGTTAGGTGGTGGAAGGCAATCTGAAAGAAGTCCTCAGCCTATGTTACGTTCTTTTTGGCACTCATCAGAGTAATCCAGTATTAACCTCACTTGGTTCAAGTGCATGGCAATAAATTAGCTTCTCCGACTAAAGAACTAAATCCACTGTATAAACCTTTATGATACGACCCAGATAGCCAGACCTAACTGGAACCCATGGCTCACTGACTGAAATAAGAATGTCTAAAAATTGAGTCCTTGCTCCATTATCAACGTGTCAGTATCTGAAACAGTAAGGCAATTGATGAGTCCTGATGATCCTGACTCTCGTCATCTAGATGTTATATTAATGAGCTCTTGAGATCACTGTTCACTGATGACTCATATTTTCAGAAATTCAGTAGAAAATTATGCTTTTGGTAATAGTTTGCCGGTCTGTCTAAATTTTGAGGTTTTTTCTTCAGTGGTTCATCATTAAACTAACCGAATATATCATCGTTTACTTCATAAGGAAATGAAGCATCTTCAAGGTGGATAGATGTTTGTGAAGGACATTTGCCGAACTTTAGCGTAATTGCCTTTCCAACAGGAGTGAATCTGCCTTCTTGTTTTGGAGCAACAGTTGACCTATATAACTATTGTTATCATGTGACCTGTGCTATATGATCACTGACTTACTTGATTGATTTCTAAATAGCTGATCTTGTTTTGGCAGTCCATTTACTGGATTGGTGTTCAGTTCTGCTAACTGCCATTCGATAAGGGTACCATGCTTTTGAGAGTACTTCCGCCGTTTCCGAGCTTGCTTGGTGTTGTATTTCCACGTTGTCTTGATTGAAGTTGTGGATATGTCCATCTAAATGCGTCGATACCAATGACAATATATCATGTCGTTTGTCTACAAGTTGAGATGGAAATTTTCATTTCACCTTCACTCATCATTGGGTATCAATACTAGTCTACTAAACCAAGGCGATCCCACATGATCAAAATGATACAAGTTGGCAGCCATTAACCCGTTTACCTATTCGATGACTGCATTAGCCAACATTCCTTATATATAATTCTGTAGAATGTACTGGTCTTGTCTTCTCGAGGTATTTCAACACTCAGGTTGTAGGGAAAAAAGTCTCTTATCTACCAGGAATCTGGATACATAAACTTACAATGAAGTAGATCAGAGAAATTAATTGGGTATTTCTAATAAAAGGAGATGAACAAATGAATACATGTGCGAATAAGTCCTGGGAAGTGTTTATGGACAAATTTGCACCAATGTGGCATCATCAACTTATGACTGTCTGCAAAGCTTTATCAAATGGATATCATCAAAAGCAATATCCCTCACCGACTAACTAATTATTTAGTAGTGGTTGTCAGTAGAGTTTGAGAAGCGCATTTATTCTTGCGTATTTACGATTCAATCAACTAAATATGCTTGTCTTCGATGTGTTGGAATCTTCACTGAGACCCAAAACTTAGCAAAAAGTTGTGAAAATGAAACGTAACTAATGACAATAATGAGGTATGCATATCAGAAATTTGTGCGTCAACAAAGTTAAACCATTTTGATAAAGGCTGGTGAATAATGGAGATAGAGAGAAATGATCAATTACACAATAATTACTAGAATATGCAACCAGCTGTAGACAAAGTGTTAAGGAGGATCACAGACCTGAAACTACTATGAATACCTACGAAACATGTTAGATATGCATAGCGCTTCTTTTCTATTTGACAGGTTTAAGATGATTCTTGGATGTAACACTCTGTTTCAATTATGTAACAAACCTGAAATTGTTCTTTTTATTACCTTTCTGCTAAGATGATATTGTAAAAGTAGTGAATGCTTAGTCAGATGTTTTTTTAGTGACTGTTTTTTTCAACAATCCACCTCCATTTTGTTCCCATTCTCTCATCTTATTTCGGTGTCTTCGTTATTTCGACTGGTTGTTTTATGTGGTGTATCTCTTGATGTCCACAAAGTATCAACTCAGTGTTCGAAATAATAAGTATTATTGATGTCTGGAGAATTATTTTCAGTGTGAACTTATGACTGAAAGTAACGTATTAAGTATGATTATTTTGAAAATCCTCACTATTTATACTGAAGGCATACTATATGCTGATTTTACTAATATTTCCTTCAGTGGTTCGCAAATATCTGAAGATGGTTTACGTTTCCTATTTGAGAACCTCTTAGATCGATAAAGTATGTATAGTCGACACCTTCAAAAAACGCTATTTGTGTAGTATTTATCCCAAAAGGACAAAACTATCAACTAGTACAAAACATCATTTCCAAATGGCTAGTTAAAGACAGCAAACTATCACCTGTAGTGTAATTCTCAGAACGAGTATTACTGAAGTAAGATTCAAGATAACTTGAGGAAACAACCGAAACTGTGATGTATAGCGTCTCTAGCCTCCTGAAGTCCTGTCTAAATAGAAGATAGGAACTTAAAATCAGCTACCATAGAGCCAAGTTGGTTCGTCTTTCAAATATTAACTATTCAATATATTATGCGTCTACTTATATATTTGATGGGAAGCAATGGCTTAGGGGCATGCTCTTCTTTACACTGGGTTGAGCTACCTAGTTTGCAGAAGAGCTTATACCTGCAGGTAGTAAAAATATATCAGTGAGATGAAAATGACAAATAATAAACATGTAAAACTGAAGTTAACTAAATAAAACCCGGTCAAGGTTACATGAGAGCGTATAGAAAATCTAGCTAGTGTCTTCTATATATTAGGGATTTATGACTTGAGGCTGTTGATCAAATAGTCGGGGAAAGGTCATATTTGAGACATAGGTTCTCATCATTTCTTATCCTGTTTGACATTCTCAGCATCTTATCAACCTTCATTGATTTTTTATCTCCGTATTCTCTTTGATGCCATTTGTATCCTCCTACTTCAACTGACTTCTTCTTCTCTGCATTAGTCAATTTTAACATCTTGAACTACTTCATATTTTGTGCAGTTCTGTATTTATCCCTTAAGTGACATAACAAACCATGCTTTAGTCTACCATACTTTGAAAAAGTTGTACAGTGGTGGAATATCGCCGTGGCGATAAAAGCCACGCTATAGCGTAAGAAAGCTATCTGTCTCCTTCGAAGATTCCTTGAAATTCACCTTACAATAAACCTATATATGACAGAACAATCTTCTTTATTCAAAACATAACATCTGCGAAGCCTAATATATCAATTGCTAGTGCAACTTAGCTCAGCATACCTAGATGTTTCTCTTTTATACAATGCGGCAGTGAAATGTTCATGGTAAAGTCTATCACCATACTGAGAATATACTGTGTGATGATCGAAGGTGAGATGAAAATCTGCAACGTGGCCAGATTCACATCATCGACCACCGAGTTACCACCTGGTCCCCTACCAACTGAGCTACGAGGTCCAACCGATGATCAGATTTTTTGTCACTTCAATCCTCAAGGGTTTTGCTCGACTGCTATGTGAATTCATGCAGCGTTACTATCGCTTGATCATAATCATACTAATTGCTTAGTCAGCACTCCTCATCCCAATCGAAATCTAACCAAATTAGGGAGGTGGAACGTCATATTGATTATCATTTTGACGATGTGAGAAAGCCGTAGTTTAGTAGACTAGTATTGTGATAGGTGATGATTGAAGGTGAAATGAAAATCTGGACTGCGGTCGGATTCGAAACAGCGACCATCGGGATACAGGCCTGGTGCTTTACCAACTGAGCTGCGAGGTCCGACAGACGAACAGATATTTATTTCATTTCAGTGAAGCTGATAGAGCACCAGGCCGATAACCCGATGGTCTCTGGTTCGAATCCGGCCGCGGTCCAGATTTCCATTTCACTTTCAATCATCACCTAGTACCAATACTAGTTTGTCAAACTACGGCTCTCACAGATGGTCACGTGATATTACTGAGAAAACCAAAACAACTGAAGTACACAAAAATTGATGCGCACAATCAGCATTGATAGATCTAACTTAATTCATCGCCACTTCTACCAATACCTCAAAGCTGGAAAATTC